GGTGGGAGATACGAAGCTAAACTATATTAAATATGTATACACCAAGTACTACTACTTGTAATTAACGGGAGTCAAATGGTAAATTACCTCAGGAAATTTTTTCTTTTGTAAATACTCAGTCACAGCAGGATCAAAATACTTTGCATAACCTTCATTAAGACTATAGATTTTTCCTTTCTTCTTGATTCTCACATCTTTTTCCACCAAAATGAATTCACCAAGAGCCTGCAAACAGATAAAATAAATAAAGGAGCTTATTCATATACTATTAATTCACACACCATCTTAATGAATTATTACTGTAAAAATTTCCCATCCCTTCAAGCAATCGGGTAAAACTCAATTTAATCCACTTTTAAAGGAATAAAAATAATTGAACTTAGTGATAATCAATTCTAAGAAATCTCTTCAGTTTTAATTGTCTTTGCATAGAGTCATAAGCATCTTAGAGATTTTGTGAATAGATTTCAGCTCTGCACTGCCTACTTTGTTCTATAGTGGAAGAGCCTATAGTCCATCAGCTGGAGCCTAGGATTCAAAATAGTAGGATGGACCACTAAACTAAGAATTAAGGATATCCAAAGGCACATTCATTAAAAAAAAAAAAACCAGTTTTGGGGTTCTCCTCCTCTAAGCATTACTTTTCAATAATGTAATAATTGGGAGGAAAGGCTTTTGAAGTGTTGATAATTCTGGGATTTAGAAACCTTTACCAATCTTCTGAGGATCTCCCATAAGCTGCCCAATACATCGCAGTCTACGTTTTGACTTCTCCTGATAATATTCCAACAGTGATGTCAAAAAAGACAGGGATCACCACTAGAAATGAAAGTGACTAAAGCAGTGCAGACTCAAGCTAAAAAAATTAAGTTAAGTTAAAACTAATGTGCTTCCAGTTTAGCATCAGCAGGAAACACTATTCTAGTGAGAGTTCTGTTTTTTTTTCTCCTAGCAAAATTGTGAGCAAATTAGAGAATAATTCAGTTTTTGCATAATCTGCTTAACAATTAAAATCTGGCCACATTTTTATGTATGGATAATAAAACAGCTTTCTCTTCCTAAATCTCCAGTTCAATGTTCCCTTGCTTGTTGAAATATGTTTGAAACCTTTTATCAGCTGCTATTTCCATATAATGTTTCCCAAACTCTTTTTTAATGGCAGCTAATGTTGTTCGTTCATTTGACGAAACTCCTCTTGGTTTCACTGCTTTGAACGCTAAGGTAGCATGCAGTCACTCTTCTGTTCTGACTTTGGAGAAGCCTTGTAAAAACCATATCAACTGTTCTGTAGTTTTTGAGGACCAGATCTAGAAATGTATTTCATGCTTCATCCAAATGATTTGTACATGCCAATTCATAAGCAATCATTTTGCCACCATGGCAATATATTGGTGTTATACTGCCAAAAACCAGCTCAGGAAGCTTTGCTCTCATTCCGAATGGCCTCTATATCAGGGCTTCCCAACTCCCGGTCTGTGGACCTGCACCGGGCCACGGCATGCCAGAAACTGGGCCACACAAACAAGCAAACCACCATCTGCGGGATGCAGGCAGTACGTGAAACCATGTCCCCTCCAGTCCATGGAAAAAACTCTCTCCACAGAACTGGTCCCTGGTGACCAAAAAGTTGGGGGCCACTGCTCTATATTATAAACACTTTATCTCCCCACCACCACAGTTCCTGGAAAGGGAGATGGTTTCCCTATGGAATATGAAACAGCAACCAAAGCATACTTCTGCTTAGTATTTCTATCATACCGGATCCAACATAAAGCAGTCCACTCCTTGCCCTGTTGAAAGGGCAACCAGCGTTGCACTGCCATACAGAGCATAGCCTGCAGCGACAATGTTGCGTCCAGGTTGTAAGGCGTCTTTTTCAGAAGGCTCATCTTCAGAGGTCTAAAAAAAAAATAAAATTGCACTATAAGCACTGTCCATATAATTTGCTGTTTCAAAATTTAAATTGGAGGAAAGAAACTTAAAATGCATGAATAGGACTTTCTCTTAATGATTGGAACTACAGTGTGTCTGATATACGGAGACTGAAGAGGCTTTTTTGTAAAAGAATATTACAGTAAATATAATTGAACTACAAATACTGTCAAATTACAAATAAGAACATTAACAGTAAAGATATACCAGCTGCAGGTCAAGTCATAAACTGAAATAATAATAATAATAATAATAATAATAATAATAATAATAATAATAATAATAATAATAATAATAATAATAATAATAATAATAATAATAATAATAATAATAATAATAATAATAGCAAGCAAAGGTAGTACCAATAGTAATAGGCGCCTTGGGTGCAATCCCAAAACAACTGGAGCACCACTTGAACACCATTGGCATTGACAAATTCGCTATTAGTCAATTGCAAAAGGCAGTCTTACTAGGAACTGCTTCCATCCTGCGACGATATCTGTAATCCCATCAAACATCCACATCTGCCTATCCCAGGTCCTGGGTAAGGACTCGATAGGTAGACAAAATGCCAAATCCAGTCTGAACATCTGGCTGACTGTGCGATGATCCATAATAATAATAATAATAATAATAATAATAATAATAATAATAATAATAATAATAATAATAATAATAATAATAA